AATAGTTGTTGTTTTTCATTTTTAATCTCAAAACATTCAGTTTCTTGAGTATCATTTCTAATTTATAAGAAATGACCAAAATGTCCACCTTAAACTTTTGACCACTACTGACTCTAGGCGGGCTCGGGCCAATAGGATGTGCTCTGAAAAAGTCGTTTGATTTTTAACAAATATTCTGTTGTGTTGTAGGATGAAAAAAGCAATATACATACTAGGCTGGCTTCAATATAATAAGAAGTTAGATTATTACTGGGGAAAAAAAAAGAAGTTAGTTATTGTTTCTGTTCATTTTAATCTGATATCTTTCGTAAGTCCTAACGCATTATTCTTTGGGTTTTGAAAGAATCCCACGGGGACACCAATTCCAAGCGCAACAAGCGTGTTACAGACAGCCGACGGGCATACCACTCTCATGCACGGACCTGTGAGTTTGACAAAGACATATACAACTATTACTACCTCCCATCTTAATTATAAGATCTTATTTATAGATTATAAATGAAATCTTATGATTAAGATCGGAGGTAGTATTTCCTAGAAATATTTCTTGCGTTCACACCAATTTAAACTCAAAATGTTATGTTTAAATAGATATAACAGCTTTGATTTCATGGTTTCATCGAAACCAAAGCCCATTGATTTTTTACAATTAAAAGTTAAATTATGTAGATTTCATATTTACTCTTTTGATCTTATTTATAAGACAAAAAAAAAAGATTTTTTGGTCCTATTTATAAGTCACTTCATTAAATTTTTAGCATAAATATACTATTTTGTCCTTCATTTATTATAATTTAGATAGTTATATTTTTTTAAAAGTGTATATATTAAACATGGGTAAAATTGAAAAATTGTTATATTTTAATTGAGAATTAATGTAATTTAAGGTTTTTCTTAATTTGTATGAAACATGTTGAAAGTTCCTTATAAATAGGATCAAAGGAGTATTTTAAAATCTTCATAGCGCCAAATACCATTAAAAGATCCAAAAGAAAAAAAAATTCATTGTCATCCATCTAACCATAAATTAGTTAATTTTATTGAATTTTTTATTAGAGCAAGGTACCCCTATTTAAAATAAATATCGTTTAAGATACATGTAAAGACTTCGATCATCAAATAAAAAAGATTTTGATGCAAATATGTTTGCTTTTTTTTTTTTGGTTATATTCTAAAAATGAATTTTGATCATATCATAAAGTTGATTAGTTTTATAATTTTGTTGCAAATTTTTGCTTGGGATTGTAAAATAAAAAATAGATTCAAATAAATTAGGAATTTAGTATAGCCAAGGTAAATAATAAATAAAGTTAATTCTAAAACATACATTATGCATACCTAGGTCACAACACACTTTCTAAGTCCTAAAAAAATCTTACATATTGCGTTTTGAAATATAATATAAGTAACTTATTCAAAAATAAATGCTCTAAGTAATTTTGATACTTTTCGATTTTTGAAAATTTTTTTATTGCATCAGTGTGATGGGATTTCAAATATGATCAAATGAAGGCGTGAATCTAGTATTTAATAGTATTTAAATATGTTATTCTTTATTTGTGGTTGTTGCTGTGTTTATCCATTAAATCTTAAAATATATGATGTCTTCTTAATGCATTATGCTTTCATTTTTGAAAGGCCTTGGCCGCATGGACGAGTTCACCCGCATTAGCCCGCTTTACTGCCGAATCGGTGAGTGAGCTATTCCAAGAAATAACGTCTTCTTGTTGGACTTGATAAAATAGGCATTAATCTAATATGTTGTTGTTATTCATTTTAATTAATCTCAAAACATTTAGGGCCTGTTTTGTTTTTGTTCTTTGTTTTTGTTCTCAAAACAATTTTATAAAATTGTTTCTTAGAACTATTTTGAAAACAAAAAACAAAAGAATTTGTTTGGATAATAATTTTAGAAAATCATGTTTGAAAGAAAAATTATAAAAAAAAAACCACACTTGATAAGTAATAGTTGTTGCTGGTAATGATAAGTAGCAGATAATAGGTAAGAAGAGAAGATTTCTCAAAATTTTTCAAAAAAAAAATAAAAAACAAAAAGCAAAAACAAAAAAACATGTAAAAGTTGTTTTGGTTTTTTAGTTTTTAAAAACATGTTACTGTTTTTTGTTTTTTTTAAAACAATCAATTAAAAACAAATTACCAAACAAAGTTTTTTGTTTTTCTGTTTTTAAAAACAAAAAATTGTTTTCAAAACAAGCAACCGAACAAGCCCTTAATTTCTTGAGGATCATTTCTTATATATGGGAAATGACTAATATTCCACCCTTGCTCATTTGACCCCCGCTATTAAGTATTAACCGTAGGCGACCCTTGAACACCATGCATGTAGACCTGTGGGATTTACAGGTGTAACCTGTGTGGTTTTTATGCATATTGTTTAAATTTTATACTACTATATTAATTTATAAATTTCCTCCTGTTTTTATAAATTATTTTTTTAATTTCACAATTTTCTCCTATTTTTAAACTTAACAGTCAATTAATGATTGACTGAATAGAAATAGAATCTCGAATATATAAGAAATATTTGTGTAGCATATATTTTAATTTTAAAAAAACTTATACATTTTCAAAATACATAGAAGATTTTTATACTTTAAATAAAACATTGGAGTAATTAATGTATTTAACTCTAAATCTGTAATTGAAAAAAAAAAAACACTAGCTGCGGGTGTGATTGTGTGTGTATTACATTTTGAGGTATAATATAAGTAATTTCATCTAAATAAAAAAAATCTCAAAATATTATCATTATTCATTTCCTCTCAAATGTTATTATAAGTTGATTAGAAAATTATGAATACCTGAATTTCATCCTAATTTTTTGCCCCAAAAAATTTCTCCTAATTTACTTGAAAGTTGCTTTTATTTGGAGGATAATGTGCATTAATAAAAAGAAGAGTAATGCATTGAATTTCTCTTTATTTTACCTTAATTATGAGGCCTACCTTTTTGCGTAGATATTTTTTAACATTGAAATTTTTTTATATCACCATTCTGATATCTAGTACTATTGAGTCATGGCGATAGCTAGCATCCTCTTTTGTAATAAGGACAGTCCGACTTAAATCATATTGAAATATCAAAATTTAAATACAAATTCTTAACTAAGCCAAAAAGCTTAATTAGGAATTTGTGAATGTTGTTAAAAGACCAAAATACCTTTTTATAGAAAATTAAAAGTAAGTATTCTTTTTTTTTTTGGTAAAATTAAAAGTAAGTATTCTATTGGAATTAATTGGAATTTTTCTTTATCTTACTTTATTTTTTAATTTATTTTTCATTAAATTGAATATATATTACTAAAAATTTGATCTAGAATATTTTATAGTTAAAAATTAAATTTAAAATTAAATTTAAATTTAAAGTCTTGAATAACTTTCCATTAATTTTATAAAGAATTATATAATTTCAAAAAATAAAAACATTTGTGCAATTTAGATCATGCTGAAAACGTGTTTTGCTGAAGTGTTTAGTTTACCTAAAAACACTTAAAAAAATACTTTTGCGCAAGTTGAGATAAAATTGCTTTCACACTTTGGGTCTATTTTGAGTAGCTAATAAGTAACTTTTCAACCGTAATTTACAGAATATAAAGTAAGTAAGAATTATATAATTTCAAAAATAAAAACATTTGTGCAATTTAGATCATGCTGAAAACGTGTTTTGCTGAGTGTTTAGTTTACCTAAAAACACTTAAAAAAATACTTTTGCGCAAGTTGAGATAAAATTGCTTTCACACTTTGGGTCTATTTTGAGTAGCTAATAAGTAACTTTTCAACCGTAATTTACAGAATATAAAGTAAGTATATAAGAGAAATTTTGTCTTGGTTTATGTGAAATGTGTTTATAAGTGTTTTTAAATGTTATGCCAAACAGATTTTTTTGTATACCTTAAACTCACAAAATTATGACCCAAACACCCCTTAAAATTATACTGATGTGTTTCCTCTTTCCTCCCCTGTCGTCATCCAAGGGTCGTCCGTCGATAACTCCCAGGCCACAGGATTTTGCTGAAAACCCTAAGCCCAAAGGGACGCTTGCCGGCTATATGGCGCAGTGTGCTGAAATTCCTAAGCCCAATGTGCCGCTTGTTAATCTCAAGGATTTCGCTGAAGACACTACAAGAGGTCGCGGTGGAGACCCTGACAGCACGGGCAAATTGGTGAGTAAACTATATTAGAAGAAACAGCGTCCCCTTCTTTTTGGCGTCCGAAATGTCCTTGTGAGGTTTATTTATACATTAAACACACATACGTACCAGTCTTTAATATAAAAATTAGTTTGACATTCAAATGGATCCTAAATATAATACTCCAATCTATTTTGTCTTTTATATTTATCTATTTTTTTAAAATAGTCCTTGTAGTAGTTGCACATATTAAAAGTTTTATCAAATGGTAGTTTTAACTAATACAAATTATTAGCAAAGGTATTTTAAAGAAGACAACATATTTTTTATTACAAATAACTAGCTTAACTAATTTTCTTAATCTATTTAAATTAGTTAACTAGTTGTAATATTAAGCATGTGGGTAGTATGGGAAAAACGAGTGCTTCCCGCCGATTGCTCATTGCGAGGGGGAAATCTGTGAGGCCTAATGGAGGAGGAAAGGGAGGATGCAGACAGAAGGAAGAAGAAGGTATGCATTGATAATCGTGACTTCACAAGGGAGGAATTGCTGAAGAACAGAGCTGAAGGATGGATGGAGGTTGACGGAAATCAACGATCTCTTAAGTCTTATAGGGAATCGTTGATGAGAAACGTTAATTCGAGAGTACGCTGGTGGGAATGGGTTAGGGATGAGGAGGACGATGACCTGGAGGATTATGGCGCAAAGACAGACTTTAAGAAGGTTGTGTTTCCAGACAAGGGGATTATGGTGGATGTCTCCAATCCACTATGACCGAGATTCTTATTTGATGAGAAAGAGAAGGAAAGACTGGTGAAACCTTTCAAACGAACCTTGATTGTTAAACTGATGGGGAAATGGGCGTCGTACAACTTCATGGTACAGAAACTTAAGCAACTGTGGCAAAGGAAAGGGGAGATTGAAATTTTCGATCTAGAGAATGACTTCTATTTCGTGAGTTTCCAAAGCAATGAAGATTATATGGAGGCTCTTATAGGTGGGCCGTGGGTAGTGTCAGACGCCTACTTGAATGTAGCTAGATGGAGGCTGGAGTTCAATCTTAAAAAGGAAACGATCGAGACTATGGTTGCGTGGGTAAGGTTCCCTGACTTACTTGCACCACTATTTGATAAAATTTTTTTGTTAAATTTGGGAAATGCTATAGGCAAAGCAATAAGGCTAGATGTTCATACTGCTCAGAGATCGAGAGGAAAGTTTGCAAGAATGTGTATTGAACTGGATCTAACAAAACCTCTAGTGCCTGAATTTGAGGTGGAAGGGCAAATCCTAAGTGTAGTGTATGAGAGTATGGAAATGCTCTGTAAAAAATGTGGAATATTTGGGCATAGGGCGGATCACTATGGAGAGTTCCACAAGAGACAGGAGGAGGTTTTGCAAAGAAATGATAAGGGAGGGGAAGGCAATATTGAAAGGAGTGATGATGGTAGAGAGAAAGAGGAACTGTGGAAAACGGTTCAAAGAAATAGAAGGCAAAGAAAGGTTGCTAATCCAGAGCAGAATATTCAACGGGGTTCGAGGTTTGCTGTGCTTGAGTGAGAGGAGGTGAGGAAGGAGGAAGAGAAGGAGAAGGACAACGAGGGAGCAAATGCAGCCCTACTTGATGTTACCAACGTACAGGGCCAAAATGTGCAAACTTTCAAGATGAGAAAGAAGAGCCCAAGGTTGGATGAAAATAAAGCAATGGTTTTAGCTAAAGAAAAAAATGGAGCCAAACAACTAGTGCCAAAAAAGAATGTAGAAGAAAAGGTGGTGAAGGAGAATAAGTTGAAGACTTTGGTGCAACAAAAAAAGGAAATTTAGTTGGGAGGTAGAGCTGTGGAGATGATGGCTAGCTCTAGTGATGCAAGCTTTGTGCCAGAAATGGTTGCTAGAGAAATGGGAAGCTCTGGCCTTAGGATACTGGACAAGGGAAACCTTGATCCTGGAATCCATGACTTTAGCATGAAGAAGAGAGTGGGCTTTGACCCAGGTGATGATACCAACCTTACTGAAGAGGAGGAGGATCCCATTGAGTGCTCAGATGTGCATATGGAGCAAGGAGTTAGCTCTGCTCTGCTAGCACTGGACTGATGCAAGTGCTCTCTTTTCCTGATCTTTTAAGTTTGTGATTTAATGAAGTTACTGGTTTGGAACAGTAGGGGGGCGGCTAGCTGTGGCGGCCTTAAAAAATTTCAGGAAAAGATATAGATTTGATATTTTAGTGATACTTCAGCCAAGAGTCAGTGGTACTGTTGTAAACAGAATTACTCGCAGCTGGGGTTTTCATAAATGTTTAAGGGTAGAGGCAGAGGGTTTCTCTGGTGGCATTTGGATCTTATAGGAAGCAGAAGGGATAAAGATTGAGGAAATCAACAGAACTGATCAGTTGATTCATTGTACAATCAGTTTAGGGGAAGAGGAGTCTTTTTTCACTGCTGTGTATGGTAACCCAAATAAACAAAGAAGGCATTCTTTGTGGGATTCACTGCAAAGAATAGCCTCTAATACAAGAGACCCCTGGTTTTTAGCTGGTGACTTCAATGAGATTAAATCGCCATTGGAGCAATAAGGGGGAGGCAAGGTGAATGAGATAAGATGCCAGAGATTTAACGATTGGATACAGGAGTGTGGCCTCATTGACATTGAAGCCAAGGGTCCTTTTTTCACTTGGAAGGGACCTTAGTGGGAAGGTTTAGATCATGTGTTCAAGAGACTTGACCGATGCTTATGTAATGTGTAGTGGCAAAATCGATTCACAGATGCTGTAGTCAAGGTTGGTGAAAGGGTCTGCTCTGACCATCATTCCTTAATAATTGATTTGAAACCTGACCTGTTTGTAACTGGTGCAAAGATTTTTAGATTTGAAGCTGCTTGGTAGCTACATGACCAGTTTTCTACCTTCCTTGGTAACAGTTGGGTTGGTAGGGAAGAAGCCAACGTGAAATTAGAGAAATTAAAACAAGATTTAGAACACTGGAATGTAGAGGAATTTGGAAGGATTGAATGGAAAAAACAGAAACTTTTAAACAGATTATATGGAATACAAAAATGTCAGAATAGAGCTAGAAACCCCTTTCTACTGCAGCTTAAGGTGGAATTAGAAAGGGAATTGATCGAAATTCTTAAACAAGAAGAGCTGAAATGGTTCCAGAAGTCTAGAGGGGGCTGGATTGAACAAGGGGATCAAAACACACGATATTACCATACAAAAATGATGATTAGAAGGAGAAGAAATAAAATAAGAGTTTTAAAGAATGATGCAGGAGAATGGATAGATGAGGAGGAATCTATTATGAATATGTTTCAATCCTTTTACTTGAGATTGTTTGAGGAAGAAAGAAGTGACAGAGAGTGGTATGAGACAGATCAGAAATGGGGAGAAGTGTGTAAGGAAGAGGTGATGAAGATTAACAGACCTATAACTTTTGAAGAAGTGAGGAAAGCTTTTTTTCAGATGGGAAGTTTCAAGGCTCCTGGAGAGGATGGGTTTCCTACTGTTTTCTACCAACAAAACTGGAATATTGTGGGTGCTGAAGTAGCTAAGTTCATCTCAAGACTTTGGGACAACCCAAAAAGAATTGATGAAATAAACAGTACTTTGCTTGTACTGATCCCAAAGGTAGAACATCCGGAATTTGTAAGTCAATTTCGCCCCATAGCCCTGTGCAATGTTCTGTATAAAGGTTTATCTAAAGTTGTGGTCAACAAACTTAAGCCTCTTATGGACAAACTGGTTTCCCCTTTCCAAACCAGCTTTGTCCCTAAAAGAAGTATTCAAGAGAATATTATAATAGCTAAAGAAATGTTGCATTCAATGAATAGGATGCAAGGAAAGAGAGGATACATGGCTATCAAGACTGATCTTGAAAAAGCCTATGACAGGATGTCATGGAACTTTATGAGAAAAGTGTTGTAGGAAATTGGATTTGATGAACATGTTGTGAATGTGATAATGAGCTGTGTTGACTCAACTAGCATGGCTATAACTTGGAATGGAAGGAAGAAGAGTGTATTTAGGCCTTCAAGAGGCTTGAGGCAAGGGGATCTGTTGTCCCCATATCTATTTGTATTAGGTATGGAAAAGCTTTCACATCTAATTGCTGATAGAATGAACAAGGGGGAGTGGAGACCATTGAAAATGGGAAGAAGAGGTACTGCTATATCACACCTCCTTTTCGCAGATGATCTCCTACTTTTCTGCGAAGCAAACCTTGAACAAATGAGCGCTGTTTTAAATGTGTTAGAAGAATTCGGTGAGGTCTCTGGACAGAAGCTTAATGCACAAAAAACTAGTTTTTTCTTCTCCAAAAATACTAGTAGAGTACTGCAGAATGAAATCTGTCATTTTTCTGGGTTTAGAAAATTGGAGGACTTGGGAAGCTACTTAGGGGCATATATGCTAAAGGGAAGAAACTCAAAAGAAAGATTTCAACATATCCTTGATAAAATGCAAAGCAAGCTTAGTGGTTGGAAGAAGCAAACCTTATCTTTGGCAGGAAGGTTAACTCTGGTACAAGCTGTTACAAACCAAATGGCGGTCTACCATATGCAACACTCTCATATTCCGGTGGGTGTGAAGCAACAAATGATCAAAATCCAAAGAGATTTCCTTTGGAATGATGAACCTGGTAGGAAAAAAATACGTCCAGTTAGCTGGGATCTCCTTTGCAGTGCAAAAGAAAGGGGAGGCTACAGGTTAAAGGACCTAGGACTAATGAATGATGCGTTATTGTGGAGAATTGGTTGGAATATTCTAGCTAATCCCTCAAATCTCTGCTCTCAAGTTTTGGTGGGGAAGTATGGGAGAGAAGTTAATTTGAAAGAACAGTGTATCATGAAACCTTCTGATTCTGAGATTTGAAAAAATCTCTCCAGATTATGGCCACACCTAGCTAGAAATATCAACTGGGAAGTAGGGGATGGAAGTACTGTGAGGTTTTGGAGAGATGCTTGGTTGGATAATGGAAGAAAATTGATTAACCGTAGTATTACCACTGTTATTGAATTTGAAGCTGAGAAACCAGTTTGAGATTTTGTCACTCAGGATGGCAAATGGGACCTTCAGCTTCTAGAGAGGTTACTACCTGAAGAAGATCTTAAGAGAATTGTTGCTGTTATGCCCCCTGATGTTCAGAATGGGCCAGATGTGATTAAATGGGGGGATTCCTTGCAAGGAACCTATAGTGTGTCTGATATGTATAAACAGCTTAAGAATGAATATGGTATTGTTGATAGCTATTGGAAGAGTTTGTGGAAGTGGAAAGGGCCAAGAAGAATACAGATCTTCCTTTGGCTTGCATCCCATAACAGATTGCTCACTGGGGAAAGAAGGAATCGCATTTTAGGGGCTAATGGTAACTGTCACACATGCAGAGATGCTGTTGAAGACTTGATGCATGTTTTAAGGGATTGTGACAAAGCTAAAACAATCTGGAGATGCTTGGGAGGGAAGGCGCAGGAGACTGGTTTTATGCTGCGAAATAACCTTGAGTGGTTTAAATGGAACCTACTGGAGTGCAAGGAGGACTGGAGCCTAACTTTTGGTATCACCTGTTGGTACTTGTGGATGTGGAGAAATAAAAGTATCTTTGAATCTGATTTCTCTTTTCTTGTTGAACCTGCTTTGTTAATAAATAAATATGTGTGTGATATACGCATGTGTAATGGGCTGTTTACAAACATGGGTTCAAGAAAGAAGGTGGTAAATGTGGGATGGGAGGTTCCAGATGTAGGGTGGGTTAAATTGAATGTGGATGGAGCATCTAAAGGAATTATGGGTTTGGCAGGTTGTGGAGGCCTCCTTAGAGATTGTATAGGTCGATGGATGAGAGGTTTTGCAAGGCGACTTGGAGCCTGTGTCGCTATTAAGGCAGAACTCTGGGGCATTCTTACAGGATTGCAGTTGGCAAAAGCCCTCAACATAAGGAAACTTGTTGTTGAAAGTGACTCTACCGCAGCTGTTTGCATGTTCAAGGAAATAATTGACAGTAAAGAAGCAAAGTCTAGCATACTAAAACAGATTCATAGAGAGGCTTTGTGCTTTGATAGTATTTTAGTTTGTCATGTTTATAGAGAGGCTAATACTTGTGCAGATTTTTAGCTAACTTCAGCTTCAGACTTGATAGGTTGGCCAATGTTTTCGATGAGCCACCTAATGATCTGAGGCCTCTGCTGTACAGTGATTTTAGAGGGGTTTTATTCCCCAGATTTCTAATGAGATTATCTGATTGGGCGTTTTGCCCCGTATTATACCCCAAAAAAAAAAAAAGCACGTGGGTAGTATATAATAGGCATTAACCTAATAGGTTGTGCCTGTCTCCATAACTATGATAATCGTAATTACTTTGCGCGTGCAGAGGTGTTTGACAGCTATGAGAGTCAAAATCATGGGTTTTTTTTTTTTGGAAAATATCCAAACATGAGAGACATGTTTATTTTTTAATAAGTAAATTTTCTTAGATTAACGAAGTGCTCTAAGTAAATCGATACTATTCAATTTTTGAAAATTTCCTCTCGTATTATATGATGGGATTCCAAATTTTTAGAAGATCACGTAG